TAACCTAAACTGAAACTTCAAAATTCGATGAGCAAAATCTCAGATTTTACTCTTAAAGGAGGGCCTATGTGATGTGTCGAATTTTGAAAATTCTTAGAAGCTTTGGTTAAAGGAATTGTATCAAAGTCAACTTAATTAAAGTAGAAAGGGCTAGAGATAGTTAGATGATTATTTTTCATTTCATCTCTGAACGTCAAAAGGGAATTCGTTCTAGCCGACGTAACTTGACCGAGTCAGATGCTATGGTACAAGAGAATGACATAAGACCTTTCCCAAAATCGACCGGTTAAAGGGCAGTTGGCTATAGATGATTGTTCAAAGTAATGATTAATTACGGCATGATTAGTTGTTTAGTTGTCTTGTCAATCCAAAATTCTACGGAACAGGTTTAGGAAACTGTCTATTCCGATTGGTTAATATGGATTTATGGGCGTTACTCTGTAAGAAATTAAAGGTTTTATTTTAGGAAAATTCAGCAGTCTTTAATCTTTTGCGAGGAAAGTTAAACAATTCCGGGATCGTGTAAGACGTTATCTCGTGATTTGGCAGTAAAGCGAGAGATTTGTCTCATCGAGTAGGCAAACTCTACATTTTGAATTCGTAAAAAGTACGTTTTCATTATAGAGTAAAGGGCCAGAGAGTTGTATCAGTTAGGAGACGGACTATACGTGAGGTTCGTGGAAAAGAATAGAGAAAACGGCAAAAGGAAACAGCTTTCCTGGATTCACATGAGAAATCCCTGAAAAATCACAGGACCAGAACAAATTCTACGTAGAAAGCTAAGTCCAGAGACGATTGTTAAGTCAGAGTTCGACGGACAAGAGTCCAATCCGAAACAGCTAGACAAAGATCATCAGAGCAGGGACGAACGGAAGTCTTGATGTCCGCATAAAATAGGTGATGTAGTCTCTCATCGTTGCACTCAAAGGTCACATCTCATTGGCAATGAAGATAGTATATTAACGTGGAAAGTAATTTTACATTTAAAAAAAATTGTATTGTCTTTTTATTTGAGTACATGTTAATACCATTTTCCTTCTTTTGTAACCAAGTCATTGATTTCTTTTCATTTTAAATTCTGTTGATAGACTGATTAAATTTTATATTTATTCATTGGAAGGGGGCTCGTTTTGTTATTTCTTTAATATACTTGTTCAATGATCTGCATTCTTCTTTCTATCTATCCACACTGGGTAATGTACACCGCCGAGGTCATTCCCTAGCAACGAACCGTAGAGAAAGAGGTTGGTGTGTTTTACACGCCGCCAATTTGTCACATTGCATTTAGCGCGATAGGCGCAATATTGTTTGCAATTCCTGGTACCTTTTCAATTATTTTAGAGAATATATCTCCAAAGAAGCATCCAACGATATTTCTGTAATACATATTTCGTTGTTGAATTTTGTTATGCAGAATGTCTGATAAAATTAATCGTAGTCAGCATAGCTGACTGTGATTAGTTAACTGACCTCAGGTGCAAACAATATGCTACAATTTCGTTATTGAAATTTAGCTGCCGACCGGATTGATCGTTGACCTTGTTTGCCATGTGCAGTATTTGACCTTCCGTTATATCCACGGGTGACACGCCATCACATGAAATTGAATCACTTTTCGATTCATATCGGTATTGTTTTACAGCAAATCCTAACAACTTTTCGATGGTATTTGTGGTACTGAAATCACCAAGAAAATTGTTGTTCAAAGTGATTCTATTACACAGGGTATTACAGTTTGGAAGGAGATCAAACTTTCGGAATGCAGATTCAACTTTAGTTGTAATCAATAACTTTGTTCTTTTATGTAGATCTGTAACGTTATAAGCGACGTTGTGGTATCTTATCAGAACTCCAAGCAAGGCTGAATCGATTGAAATGCAAAGTTGTCATTCAAATTAGTTTTTACATTTGCCATTGATCGCCAAGCAGTCGATTATACTAGTCCTATGTCATAATGAGTCTGGGACACTTGCGTCCCTGGGCGAAGTTCGAGAGGTGGATTATAAATGACAGAAGTTTGAACTGTCCTCAATAGTATGAGAAGTTTCATGTAGGAGTATTGTTTACAACATTCCTATTGTATTTGATAGATACAACTAAACTGCTGACTGTTTTGTGCTTTTTTTTAGGTAAGCACATCGTTGTGTAAAATATAATATTCGTCGGATGTTAGATAACTGTTAGATCTGAGATTATATAGAATATAAACATTTTTGTTATTGATTTATCAGCTCGTATTTCCGGTGTCGTTTGATGTTATTAATAACCGGTCAGCTATTTCAGCGGCTGAGTTATAGATCCTCACACCAACACCAGTTTTCTCGTTATTTCACCAAGTTTATAGCTAAGTTTTCTAATAACTTTGTAGTGCAACTAAATCATTTTGTTTTGTTTTTATGTTATTAAGTATAACATTAATTTCAGCTATATACTTTCTCAGTGTTTATTAAAATATAGTTCGCTTCGTTGTAATTAGTATATTTTCTAATCTATCAAAAGCACTTTTCTGTTGCGCGAGAATGAAAACAAAAATGATTGTCTCTCATTCGTCTCTGCATTGCGTAGCGGAATGTTATCGAAGATGATTATTTTATGCCCGACAAAATTTAGCTCAGCAACAGAAATTATTTTTTTAGGTTGCTTTATGATAAATATATCGTCATCTACACAAAGTTCATTTTCTTCAGTTTTGGTTGTGTTCGCTGAGCAGCTCGTATGCATACTGCTGTGGATTAATCGTATAGATATAAACTCGTTCGTACTTGAAGATGTTGAAAGTAAGAAGTTTCTCAGAAGATTAGCTTTGTCCGATCCACTTCGTCCTACTATCAGATAATAACAGTCTGGTAGGTGGTGGTTATGCTTATGTTTGATTACTCGCTTAGTGGCAAAATTGATTATGCTCTCATTCTATACCAAGTTGTTCACAAACGTTTATCTAGTCGTAATAATAAGAATGAGCTATTACACAAGATTTAGTACGTTAATTGACAGCTCAACCAACAGAACTGCTTTGGCTACAACCACTGCGGCTAATGTAGATTTAATACATTATGTAGAAAAATCTGGAGATACAATGAAGGGTAAATTAGGTATGTCAGGTCAGCGAGTGGTAGACCTTGAAACAACATATCTACCTATAAGCGTAGATAACTCGCAGGATGTGAACAACTTAGTGTTGTCAGTTAAAGTAATTTGTCAAAAACTGGTGGAAAGATGACCGGTAACTTATGTACGTCAGGCCAATAAATGCTAGACCTTGAGAAAATATATCCATTTCTTTATGCAGATAACTGATAAGTAATCCATTTTGTCCAGCTTAACGCAGTCATCAATAGTGAGTTTATAAAGAAATGGTGGAAACATGACCGGTAAAATCAACATGAATAAAAAGAATTTTAAATCTTGAAATTGAATAACCACCACCACCACACCACTGAAATAAATAACTTACAAGCGATATGTTACGCAAAACTTAGCGCAGTAGATGACAATAATAAATTGTCATTGTCTGGTGGGATAATGGCTAGTAATATAGATATGGGCTGGTAATTAATTTTTAATACTCAACTTGATAACACAACTTTCACCGGTACGATTCTATAACAAATGTAAAGTTTGTCAATGAGAACTTTGTGATAAAATCTGGCGACACTATGCTGCGAAATCTGGACATGGGATAAAATAAGATAATTACTACGACAATTCCAGCAGGAACTATTGTATCACGAGTAGCAAACTCCGGTTATACGATGATAGGTATGCTAAGCATGGGCATTGTTAAAATAACTACGACTTATATTCTTCCATTTGATCTTACAAGTACATTTTATGCTGACGCTGAGATAAAGGCAGCATCAGCTGGTACAGTCTCTTCTGTGTATGACAATTATCTTAATATATCTGGAGGCATTGTTACAGGTGCGATCGATATGATCGATAATAAGATAACTTCTAGGTATGTGCATATGCCTACATCAGATCATTCCAATAAACAGTACATAGGTATTATTGCCCAATCTCTTGCAGTTGGTGGTAGTACAAAAGAGCTAAAAACTGCGTTAGTCACATTCAACATCTCACTCATATTAGTCAAAATTGTTAGGAGGTTTCATTGCATCGTCTTAAGTTATTATTCGGAGAATAATCCTAGTCATACTTTTGCGTTTAGTAGCCTTATTAGCGAGCCAGGGTGGACCACAGACGGAAAAAACATCAAACTTTTGGGTCAAAAAACAAGGTTCAGCGGCTGTTGCGGTTTGGACATTTCATCTACAAGGAGTATTAAAATAGTGTTGGGTAATTTTAGATTGTAGATGGGCTATGCTGAATACACCAATGAATGTTAATATTGCGTTATCTCAGCATATATATTGCGTTATCTCAGCATATATATATATATATATATATATATATATATATATATATATATATATATATATATATATATATATATATATATATATATATATATATACACACGCAGTTGATTTCGCTTACAAGTTAATATAAAGACCATTGACCAGGCAGTGTTATCCTGGTGTCAATTTTACTAGTTACGACAACTCTTCTATTTACTGCATTAACACCTATGCGATTACTCCGCTTGTTTGCTGTGTGTATTATATAGCTGCTACACTTTACTCTTTAACACGACATCAACAAAAATAGAGTCATACCTCCATCACTGCATTAATCTTTAATTTGCCTCTAGGGACAAATCTGAGTGTAATTAAAATTGCAATTGTGACTTGAAAATATCATACGAGTCATTCAAATAGATGTATTTAAGGTTGTAATATGTCATCAAACCCTTTTCCATGTATAACTGATATATTCATGCTATTTTAAGACATGTCATGTATCTTTATTTATTTCTTAAAATGAGCAATTTTGGGTTCCTATATTGCTAAATCTACATTGATGTGCTATTTCAGTTGTTTGTTTGTTGTTTGTTTGGATTTATTATCCCTGGAATAAATTCTTTTTTTGAAATTCGTGACCGCTCCGGTGGCCTAGTGGTTAGAATGTTAGCCTCAGATGCGGGAGGTCGTGGGTTCGTTCCCCGGCCGAGTCTCACCAAAGACTTATAAAGATTGTACTAATAACAGATGCCGCGCTTGGCTATCAGCATTAAGAGGTTTTTGTTAGGACAGGCTGGCGTCAGGAAAATGCGACTGGTTGGGATATCATTCTACATGTCTGAGTCATGATGCACCAGTGCTAGACATGACTAAAAACTTCCACACAGCAGACATCGTAGCGATATGACTGAAAAATTGTTAATGCTATAATAAAAATCCAAATCACACACGTACTCACACACACGTAAACACACACACGTACACACATACACGTACACACACGTACACACATACACACGTACACACACAATTTTTGAAACTTGAAAATTGCGCATATGATTATACTTACTTGTTATCCACTCAATGAACCTAGCAAGTAATGACTCAGTTTTGAATTAATTCTAATGTCATTATATAAAGGGCATTGTTTTAATGGGACTCTTCCACTTCATTTCAAAAATGTATTTGCTGGTAAAATTATATGGCTTGGTTTAGTCTAAATTCATTACTGCTTAGGACACTTGGTTATTTTTAAAGGCAAGAGCAGTATTCCTTCCAGTCACTCTCGTGCATGAACTCTTATTCTTGATTCCATTTCCATATAGACGCTGGTCTAGAAGTATTAACATTTAGTTATTGATGTATAATTTTACAGGCAAAGTTTCCTTGAAGAGTACCATTACAGCTTTATGTATAAATGGCCTAAATATGTTTGAATTAATTTGTATATGATGTTTGTTTAAAAGACGAACTGAATGGCCCTGCGTATGCCTTTTAACTCTAGACATGCTGACATGCATTTCACACTTATTACTCGAAAAATCATATGTATTAATCCATGAATCGTTAACATACAAAATTCCCCTTTTCGCCCAGTGCTTGCACATAAAGTTAGAATTTCCCACTTTAATATTAGGATTCATCCATATTGGAGCTTAAGAAAATTGTAGGAGTTTTCAACAGTAAATGTATTATGTTTTCAATACAAGAAAGTAGTGCTAGCTCTGTACAGTAACTTATTATCTAATTCAATAGATGCAGCAAATACTTCAGTCCAGAATGCATTCAAAGTTTTTTCTCACCTTTACCATAAAATATATACCGAAAGTGAATAACATTCTTATACTGGCATGGAAGTTATTAAAATCTCTTTTCATTTAGGTTTAGAGGTGAGAAGTCTTCTCACCCAAGCGATATTCAATGCACGTACAAATAATGGTTATATCCAATATTTTTAAACATCCTTCAAAATGTTTTTAACATAACACTTTCGATTTTACTACGTATTTAACGCAACAATTACATTTTACAATTAATGTCAGTATATGTTTAAGTCTATTTGCATGATACATTAAGTAAGGAAATGAGTATTCAGTTTCGTCACAAGTTGTATTGGCTTATATCCTTTAGGGAAACATAACATCTTCTTTCTGCGTTAATGGTAGCTCACCCTTATCATTGGCAAAAAATGAATGCTTTTACAAGATACTTTCCAATATAAATCCAAAAAGACTTTAAAGAACTTGGCTGTTAATCCATCCGATTCTGTGCATTTATTGTTAGGCATGCTTTTAATACTTGATTTTGTTATTGAAATTAGGCCATTCATTGAATTTACTGTGTAAATCCAATTTAGGGAAGGCCATAATACATGTGGTGCTTCAAGATCAGACAGGTTTGCTTTGTGATAAAGAATATAGTTTTTCTAAGAATAATTTAGATTCAGTCCCATAGATCCCTCTCTAACATTTCCTTGTTTGAGCACGAATTTCCACCAAATGGCTCTTTATCCTTTTCTAATTCATGTAGATAATTTATATTGTTTTCCTCTTCTAAAATAGTAATGTCATTTGTAATTTGACTTTCTTGTTTGGCTTTTTGTATATTTTAATATGTAGCATACGAAATAGTTTCCCTATTATGTCTAGCAAAAATATTAAAACAAATAATTGGTTATTAGCAGAGAACCTATCTAATCTCAGATACTGTAGTTGGCTCCAAGCTATACTTTTGATGTAGGTGATATATATATATATATATATATATATATATATATATATATATATATATATATATATATATATATATATATATATATATATATATATATATATATATATATATTTGTTATTTCACTCTTGAAATTAGTCTTCAGAAAGTGCCATATAAGCTAAATCGCTCAAAAGAAAATTGTTAAATTTCGAAACTTTTCTGTGTTTTATTTTCTGTTTTTCGAAACGAAAGGAAGGGTATATTGGATTAGAAAATTGCCTGCTCGTTAACCAGATTCTATAGAGGCATCATTTACCATTGTTAAATGATTTTCTGAAACTAGGAAGAAAAAAATCAAAATTTGATGGTTGATGGGTTTGTTGTTTCTCCATGCGTGTCTTTTTGAATCAATATTTCTTTCTCGTCATACATCGTTGGATTTGTTAGTCACTGGTTAGATATTAAGAGGGAGAGAGAGAGAGAGAGAGAGAGAGAGAGAGAGAGAGAGAGAGAGAGAGAGAGAGAGAGAGAGAGAGAGAGAGAGAGAGAGAGAGAGAGAGAGGGAGGGGGTGGTGGTAACGTTTGAAACAAAATGTAACTAAAATAAAAAAGCAATCTATAAATTGATAGAAAGGAAAATAATATGATTAAGTACTTAGTTAAACATATTGGTTAATTTGTGCGAAATTGATTAAAAGTAGAAATGTAACCTGATTCAATTTTGTGAAACCATTAACGCAGAAAGTACTGACCAATATCGATCAAAAAAGACTTTAAAGAACTTTACTGTAAATCCACCCGATTATGAGCATTTATTGTTAGGCATGTTTTTAATACTCGCTTTTGTTAATGAAATTGAACCATTCGTTGATTTATTCTGTGTACTATCAAATTTAGAGATGTTTGTAAAATTTATTGATGACTTCAGATCAGATGGGTTTGCATTGTGATAATAAAATATAGTTTTTCCTAGAATAATTTTAATTCAATCGGTTTTGCCTAGATCTCACTAACCTTTTTCATTTTTGGGCACGAACTTTCACCAACTGGCTCTTTTTCCTTCCTAATTAATTAAGATTATTTGTTCTTTTCTCTTCTAAAATAGAAATGTCATTTGTAATTTGATCTTCCTGTTGAGCTTATATGAAGCATAAAAAGTGGTTTTCCATCCTACTTCTAGTCAAAGCATTTCAAACAATAATTGGTCATTAGTAGAGAATCTAATCTCAGATGTTGTATCTGGTTCCAAGTTATAATGTGATGTAGGAAACATATTTTTTTATTGTACTCTTGAAATGAGTCTTCAACAAACTGTTACATTTCTAAATTTTTCTGGGACTTTGACTGTTTTTCGAAAATTAAATGTATGTTGGACTATAAAATTGTCTGTTTTGCAACAAGGTTATATAGAGGCATTATTTACCATTGTAAAAATATTTTCTGACACTAGGAAGAAAAATATCAGACCTTACCTGCTTGACGGGTTTATTGTTTCTCTAAGTATCATTTTGAATCCATAGCTATTTCTCGCCAGATTTAATTTAGATTATAATGACAAAAATATAAATGACTGCATCTCTTGCTTCAAGATTATTTAGGGATTTGTAATTATATTTATCGAGATCTTGATTCATAACTAAAACCCTCTAATAATTATATGATGGGACCTCTTTATCAAGCCTCACTTCAGTATAGGAAATTGGTGTGCCAACTTTAGGATGTTTATAAGTATATCTGTAATTTAGTGTTGAAGTATCTACAACTAGCATGCTACCATTTGCATCCACCTTTAGTCTGTGTAATGTAAGATGAAAGTTATTATTTAATACAATAATTAGTCCCCTTGAGTTGGAAGCGAAAGATTTGAATATACATTCAAAATCCCAAGATGATCTAATATAAGTGTTTAATCTTTCTATAAAATGTTCTCTTGCAATAGATATATTATTTCTTCTTGTTTAGGTTATTCGAAACATCCTTTCTTTTGACTGGGACTCCCATCCCCTGGCAATTCGTAGAGGCACTTCTCTATGCGTCATCCATTATAGCCACTTTAAAGGTTTTCTTCAATAGTAATCGTTAGTTTTTCGTTACATATTAAAAGAAAGTTCGTATTGTATGTGTGTGTGTGTGTGTGTGTGTGTGTGAGAGAGAGAGAGAGAGAGAATATTTGAAACAAAATTTAACACAAATTTAAAAAAAAATATTATACTTTTTTTTAGATAATATGATAAAGTACTTATTTAAGTGTATTGGTTCCTTGTACGATATTGGTCAAAAGTAGAAATATAAGGATTTAATTTTGTGAAACTCACGGTTAGAAGCAAACCAATATAATTTCATATACTATGTGTGAAGTATACTTTGATATAATTGTATGAAACTTATTGGTATAGCTCTGAGCTAAATTTCTATGTATCTGAAACCGAGTTTTACTTTAAGTGCAAATAAAAAATCAAGGATTTATTTGGAATATTTTCAAAAATATTTTATTTTCATTATCAGACAGTTTTGAAACAAATGCAAGTGGGGGTATCTACATAAATCAATCCCATTGGCTTTGAATTGTGCAATTATTGAATATTCTACTATATAATAACATACCATAAAATTCTGAATGCTGCATGTTTGACTATCCCCCATGTTACTTATAACTGATAGATTTGACTATAATATATGCTATGTACAACTGATAGATTATACGAAAATCTATGGTGCTTGCAAAACATACATATGATTTTGATACATTTTACTTCCATTTATTTAGTAAAAATATACCTACAATTGATAGACCAAACTCATTTACGTTCTTAACAACTGATAAGTTTTGCTAATCTAAGATATTTATAACTGATAGATTTGACTAATAGCTACGGACACTGACAGATTTAATTATAATGTATTCTATGTACCGGTGATAAATTGCAATATGATAGTGATTATTGCATTATCTTACACTCATGTTGTGATACCAATTGGTGGACAGCTCCGGCGGCATAGT